AGAAACTGTAGTTTTTCGTAGGGCGTAAATAGGTAGGAGGATGAGACATGAAGACGGAATCAAGAATAATGGGTAGCGGGTGAAAACTACGGCGCTGCTGAATTGGTAGGCTCTTTTTAATGTAAGATGACAAGCGCGCTGGCGTATCACCTGACGTTAAGTGACCGCCGCCCACAGACATTTACAACACCCGAAGTTTACAGCCTTGCCACCTTTCAATAAGCAGACTACTACATATCCGTAACACATAAAGCTTTTCTAAGTGTGTCCATTTTTTTTTATTAAATTCTAGACGTAAATAATGTTATACAAAAATTATAAATATTTCAAATCACTCGTAATTAACTAATTACATTCATTTGAACTTATCTCAAAAAGTGTGTGATTTATGGGCAACTCATTTATTTTACGCGCGATCATTGATAACTAACACGCACACAAGTTCGCCTCCGAGCACGGCGAGATCAACACAACGCGTACACAAGGTACACCCGCGTTCCGGGGCGGTTCTCACCGCCCCCAGCCACCGATTAGCTAATTGCACAGTCGACGGCCATCGGGGTTTCGGTCCGAACCACGACCTCGATGGCCCTTAGATGACACACCATAGTTAAACGCACGCATGAGCACATGCGTGGCCCTACCCACAGCGGAGGGCCCAAACCTGTGGGTTCTGGCTAGCCCATCGGTTCTGCGTCAGATGAAGCTTTAATAGTCTCGGGACTGAAAGCAAAAACATCAGTTAATACAAAATACAAGATACATAATTTGCGTGATCTTGCCAACTAAGGCTGTTAAATGTAAAATCCGAGATCCTTAACGTAATGATGTGGCCAAGATCAATGAAAGCTCCATCACACATAATCGCATGTAAAGCACGTCCTTGAGCATTACACAATGATTTGACACTTCGCCGCAATAACAGACTGACGAAATCTATCCTACCAACGTTTAATATGTTCAAGGTTTGTGTCAACCGACATAGATGTTTTCGGGTAATGGGATTAATATAAAAATGAAAATAAAAGAAAAGAAAATAAATAAAAAACCGCCTTGAGGGACACCAGCAAATATGTTACACCAACTATTAATACAATCAACAGCCCACCCACTGCCCACGAAGATAATCAATCTAGCGCTCGATTGAGATCATATAATGGGAAAGGATAGAAACACGGTGTCATGAGTGATGGTCTTAAATCCCTTTTAAGTCAAATAAAACCAACTACAGTAATTTTTCTGTCCCCATTCCCACCCTAGTATCACAATAATTTACGTTCAGAAGCACGGGATTAGTATTATGGCCTGGTGCCTTTATCCCACCTAGGTGGGGTCGGCGGCACAAGTGTTTTTAGCTATGATTTTCACGACCGCCGCATTACGTACAATTTTTTCCCCCAAAGGTCTCTTTTACATTTGTAACTTTGTGTACTTACACTTATTTTTCTATTTTAATTTGTATTTTTTGAAACGATGTTTTGTTTAAAAATGAAACAATTTGTTATTTTCATGTCATTTATTTCCAATGTTCTTGCTGTGTTGCATGTCAAAATAAAGTCTATGTCACCCCTCGTTGAGTATAAACGCAAAGATCCGGAACAATTATCCGTGTTTCACACAAATACTTGCTCGAAAGGGGAATCGAACCCACGACCGCCGGCGCTGAAGCCAATAACTTAGCAACTGCGGATAAGCACTGTTAAGAATGAAAAATATAAATACGGTGGCTAATAATTCTGTTCCTATAAAAATCCCTACCATAAGTGCAAAAACATATAATGTAAATAAGATGATTTTTCTGTATGTATAACTGATGTTAAGCTTTCAGTCCTTAGAATATTAAAGCTTGGGTCCTTAGTCTATCAAAAACCCATCTTTACCCACCCTCCTCAGTGGGTAGGGCCGCGCATGTACTCATGTGTGCGTTAATTATGACATGTCGCCTACATTGAGGTGAAATAAAATGCAATTTATAAATCATAATTTTATTTGATTAATACCAGTCAATCTTATACAGTATTCAGGCACATGTTATGGTCAACTTTTCTATGATTTGGGAATGTTTCCAATGGACGGATTTCCTTAGGATATGTCAATGCAAAAAAATTACAAACACATCAACTGCACTGGATGGATACTTAACTCTCATGAACACAAAAAAATACACAAATATACAGAAAAAATAAATGAAATACATTGGTCCTACATATTACAATATGAATAAAAAAATAAAAAAATAGCATTTTCATGCCTTATTAAAAAGAACATATAAATGAAAACAAAAACTATATTTTTAATGATAAAAGAGATGCTGCGTCAAACGTTTAAAAAATTCAGTCTTAGATAAACATGAAATGAATCTTTTACAACAAAATTGCAGGGCCCTAATGTAAAAACAAAAGTACATTATATATATATACAATATAAAATAAAAAGATGCACTTTCATATTCAAAACAACAAATGTTAAATGGATCACACGATAAAACGCTTGGATCTTGGTGTTATGCTTAGGATTCATAAAGGTCACTTAAATGGGAAAGCTGTTTTATTTAGACCAGTACTAGTACTACTAGTACAAACAGCCATCATTATCAGATATTAAATATAACATGAAAATTATTCTATCGTAATAATAAGTGTATCATATATTTATTCTAACTTACTTCATAATTACATTGGCCACATAGGCAGTTAAAGAGTCAAAAGAATGCCTTTTAGAAATTTACTGAAAACCATTTACTGAATTCCATCAAAAGCAATATTAAAAAAAAAACATCTTAAAAAGCAAAAAGGAAACATGGTAAAAGTTAAAAATATTTCACCCGGTCACAATGCTACACAGACTATCTATGACAAGCGGGAGTTAGTTTATAATAATCTTTTCAACTTCAGCAAAATATTCCATGCGGTGGCAGTTTTAATACAATAATAATTATGAATATGGTCTTATCGTATCAGATCTGTTACATCCATCACGCATAAGGAGAGCACCAATGCAAATATATTTTCACATTCGATCTTGACATTGATATAATATTTTAATTTGATATATTTAATAAAATTTGTAATTGTTTTATTCAGAGGAGATTTTTTGTTTGGAACAAAGCATTGTTAAAATAACGGAACACAACCTTCAGAAAGCGAAACACATTCCAAAGGTTATTATTTTACTTTGAAAATAATTAAATTACATTACTTCACATAAATATACGAAAATTTTAAAGACAATTGCAGAAATTTTAACATGTTTGGAATGCGCAAAAATGGATTTGAAGCAGAACACTTCCTTAGAAGCCTTAATAATCGAAGGTTCACATTATAGAGATTGGTCAGTAAAAAATTGTGTAAGCAAGTTCACTATATTGGGAAATGGAATTATATGGAATGGTCTTAAACTTACAATATTAAGGTATTCTCTATAAGCTTAAATTAAAAGGCACTTCGTTACTAGCTTTGGACGGAACCTTTTGAGATTTGTTGAAGATTCTTCTTATAATAAAAATACACTTCTTACACATGCACTTACTAGTTATGTTACTTTAAAACAAATATAAGAACCTTTAGCCCGAGATTCAGTATACAAGCCACTGTAAATGAGTCTGATATAAGATCAAATCCTTCTGTACATTGAGTGATGAGAGTACAGACATATAACTGCACTAAAATGAAACGTGATCTCTTCTCTTCTACCAACAACTTACAGTAAGAGTGAATTTCTAGAACCAGCAACGGCAAAGTTTACATATGAAACTACACAAAAATAAATTGAGATTGATACAAATGACATTACAAACATAAGTACTTTACAATTCGGAACATTGGTTAACAAAACCTATTGATTAATTTTATAAGAATAAATTGATGTTTAATCGAACCACCATTTAAAAAACAACAATAGAATTTAAGACATTAATTGCATCTTGTCAAGTTGTTACTTTTAATTTTTATATGGTATGAATATTATTGCTATCTCATAGAAAAAAGATATGCATATTAAAATCGTTAATTTAATGACGGTCAATTTGACTCACATACAAGGTCAAGTTATCAAAAGACATTTCCAAAAAGCTTATAAAACTTTTTACGATTTATTTTCATTTAAGCTCCCAATGACAGAAAAGCAATATAATAAACGGAATATAGTAATACATGTAAAGGTTATCACTCAATTTAACCATAGACAAATTGAAACTTTGCCCCGATCACTTTCTATCATCGTAACTTCACTAAAACACTATAATGAGCATTTTTATTAAATAAGAAAAACAATTACTTATGGAAGTATCTCAAAATTGGTAGATGCTTTCCATGTAGAATTTTTCCAACCGTTGTCTCATATGTACAAATTAAATCGAGATTATTGTAATTACAATAGGAGTACTCCTATTGAAATTACAATAATTCATTAGTATGGACATGTACATTTGCTTGCTTTGTTTCTGTACATATTTTACGAAAATGGCCACACTTACCTTTTTGTCTAAAATGTTTAATATCTTCTATAATAGTAGTATGCCTTATATAAAATGCGTCAAAAATGCAATATAGTAACACATGTAAAGGCTATCACTCAATAAAGGCATAGACAAAACACAAATTGAAACTGCACTGATCACAATGTATCATGATAACTTCACTAAAAACTATAGTGAGCATTGTTTGAACATTATATATATTTTATATATATAATGTTCAAACATATTTATAAATAATGTGCAATGATATCAAAAAGTCTGGAGTACAATATATTAATGATAAATATTTAAGAAATTTAGCTACACCTGTTTCATGTAGATTATGGAGAATCGGGCAACTGGTCATTTAATTTAACTAGACTGTAGTTATGTCTATATTGTTATTAATGTCTTGTCTCACTGTTGTTCAGCCTTATGTAGTGGTTGTTGCTAGTGGTGACAATCTAACTTAAGCGATTTCAGCCTTTTGTATGTCAATGTTCGTTTATACAGTATTTCTGGGAGACTAAACAGGAGAGCTTTACTCAATCATCACCTCGAAATGCACGACTCCTAGCTTCTCCCTGCGATCGTACTTTATGTTCTTGGCCCAAGCGCGGCATTCAATGTTAATGACTATCCCGGCTGTAACAAAAGTAACGGCATTCAGGAATAAATGTTGAGAGGTTGCACCTTGAAAACTACTGGCTATTGAAAATTACATTAAGTAAAGTAGCCAATAATTGTCCCATTGTTGGGCAAAGGCCTCCTCTGTAAAGAGGGTATTAGGGCATAGTCCGCCACGCGGCCCCGCTGCGGATTGGCGGACTTCACATATTTTCGAAATATTTTTTTCTGTTATTATTTCGAAAACATTTTTTGTTTTGTATCTTTACGATGCTTTTCTTCACCGATTGAGCATATAAGTCGGCACTTAAAATCAATAATTGGTGCTGGCACCAGGGATCGAACTCAGGTTGCTCAAGTGTATTGAATTAAAGTCTAGCGGTCGGACACTGAGCTATCATGGAATTGCATATTGACACAAATATTAAACTTGTTGAATGAGGTAACCAAAGTGCACTACGGTGGTAGGGCCACGCAGCAGCCTCGGCTGTTGCACGAATGGGCAGGCCCGTCCGGGTAAGTACCACGACCTCACAGAAGACCAGCGTAAAGTGGAAGTATGACAAATACTTTCGCGTTTCGTCTGTTGAGTGAGGTAGACGGAGCCCAATTTTCAAAAGGTTGTCGACACATCTTTAACCCTCGGGTGTGGCAGATGTCCATGGGCGGCGGTATTCACTCACCATCGGGTGAACCATCTGCTCGTTTGGCAACTTTTCACATAAAAAAAAAACATCCACAAACATCACTAAGCAATAACTGTACAATTAACACGTGCGGGCGTTTACTCACTCTTGGGCCGCACCAAATGGACCGCCACGAGGGGGCTGAGGTAGCCCTCCGCGTTCTGGTACGGGTAGAAGTAGCCGGGGAATCCCGGGTAGGGCAGGTAGCGCACCACGCCCACGTTCTCCTTGTCCGCAGGCGTCTCGCCCTGGCACGACACCCACACCATGTTGGCCTGCAAGTGGACAACACAAAATACACATTCGAGATGGGAAATAATTCAGTATTTCCTACCGGGAGCTCCATCTTTGGTAAGCCCTCAGTACTTATCTTATGCCCGGTTCCCAAATTCAACGTACGGCCGTTAGTTACATAGCTTCGTGACTTCCATAACGACTTGTAGATTAAAGGAACGCTAGTAACTCACTTTCCGTAGTTAACGCAACGGCTCGTATGCAAAACGCCTCGGTTTGTTAATATAGAAACTGGACGTACACGCCTTTTATCTAAGTCGTTATGAAACTTACGAAGCTATGTAACTAACGGCCGTTCGATGAATATAGGAACCGGGCATTAATGCAAGAACCGGTAGGACAGAACATACACAAAAGACCGCCGTGAAGTGAGAATACTTCTGCGTTTCATCTGGTGCGTGATGGCCTTGGCCGTGGCAACGCATATCCAACCCTACGGGTGTTGCAAATGTCCATGGGCGGCGGTTATCCCTTAACATCAGGCGAACCATCAGCTCGCTTGCCATCTTCTCACATAAAAAAAAACTACTCAACCTCTAGGTTCAATGTTGTAGGAAACAGCAACAGCAGTTCCGAACAGGATACAATTTGATCAGAATCTCTTGACTAGAGTTATGTATGGCTCTGGCTTGGTTGCAACATCCTTTAGTCGACTCACATAGTCCCGGTTGTACTCGGTGATGTTTTTGATCTGCATCTGCAACTCGACTGGCATCTCCTGCGGCAGGTGTTGCGTGTCGTTGAAGAACTCCGGCCTCCAGCCGTAGATCCTGCCACGCAATACACAACCTTGGTTAGAAATTACACACGGTTACAATTACATAGAGAAGTTTGAGGCCTAGCGGCTAACACAAATGTATTAGTGTCTCATTGAAAGGCGACAAACGGGCCTTTCGCTTAGGACAACGTATGCTCGGTGAAGACTTCCCGGTTTAATACGGTAGAGCGAAGTTAGTATGAGCGATTCGTTAACCTCACTTGGAACAAAAGACGACAGCCATGTAGTCTAAGGCTTATAAAATAGGACTAAGGTATACCGTGCATGTCAGCCACTAAAATGTTTTGACTTTTAGTGGGTAAAAACACAACGCCCAGGAAACTTAAAAGAAAAAACCATTAAGGGTAAAACGGGACCCTATTACTCAGCCTTCTGTCTTTCTGTCTGTCCGTCTGTTACCAATCTGTATGTCATGAACCGTGATAGTTAGACAGTTGAAATTGTCACACTCACAAATGATGACGTATTTCTGTTTTCGCTACAAAAAAAATATACTAAAAAACAGAATAAGATGAAAAAAGTATTTAAGGGGGCTCCCATACAACAGAAATTTTATGCAGTTTTTATAGATATGGTACGGAACGCTTCGTGCGCAAGTCCGACTCGCACTTGTTTATTTGTAATTCCGCCCATCTAAATTTACGAACTTTGCCATATAACGTCTTTCGGAAGAATAGAATTCTGAAGATGTTATTTTCGCCCTACCCTACACTAAAAATGAGCGTCATTAAATTCACGACTATCATAGGACCGATCTACGCAGTAGTCCTGCTGAAAGTATTTTCAGACTATTTTCGGCGTAAAAGACATAATCGATGACGGGGATGCCCGGCTTTTAAACCACACATAGCTCACTTACTCCCGGTTATTTACTGTTGCCATCTATGGATGTCCAACGTTGGATACAATCCAGTCGCCAAACTATGTCGCGTAAACAGATCCCATAGAATGACGTGCTGTCGGACGTTGCGTAAACCGATTCGAGTAAATAGATAAAATGCAGCACAGCTGAGATTAGTACACGACTATGGCATCCCAACATAATTGAGATCACCGCCCGTCACGAAACACGCATAACGGCTCGGTGAACATTGTAAGCAAACGTTACTGTATCGGCTCGCCAGAGGTTATCAAGGTTCACGAGATACAGCCTGTTGACAGACGGACAGACAGACAGCGGGTTCTTAGTAATAGGGTCCCGTTTCCGTTCTTTAGGTACGGAACCCTAAAAAAGGAATCAAAATAAGTAAACATACCTATGATTTGCTGTTACAAACCGAGTTGTTTGAAACTTCTATGCCTAAATTTAATTTTAGTTGTTAATTTTTGTATATTATTATTACAATATAATTATATTCTATGGCTTTCCTTTGAAAATTGATCAATTTAGTACATTTAGTTTGGTGATCACTTTTCACTTTTCGCTTTCACAAACTCCGCTAATGACAGGCGGAAACAACATTTTTATCGATGTCAGCACAAGTCAAAGTAACGCTTATCTGAAACGTTATCTATCCAACCTAGAAGTATTATTGGAAAAAGTTTTAACGTGTAATCAAAATCTGGTATGTTTTTTAATTTTTCAAATACACGTAACGTTTCTTATTTGCTGGATAGATTAAATTAACAATTATTTTTATAGCTATTATTATTGCCATGGGCTCTTGCTCATTTTTTTGAGATGAATAACTTTTTATTCTTTGTATGATTTTGTTAATATTTTCTCTGATAAAGAGCTACATTAACCACGCGTAAAAACAGACTTCAATTCACTTTAATAAAAGCAAGTTTCACATATAAATGTTATAATAATTACGTTTTTTATATTGCTGTGCGTGAGGCCTATATCCAGCAGTGGGCTTAAACTGGCTAAAATTATGATGATGGTTGCTTAAAACTACCGGAATACATTACATTAAAGTTCATCCTATGACCGTGAATGCTATAAGTATTTGAAATGTCGGTAATTTTAAAATAAACTTAATAAGACTAATCCCGTACAAACTATTTACTCTGAATGTCATATTGCGATATTTATTTATATAGTATAGACCTTCAGCTCTTTATATATGTGCAGTTCCAAATTATTGAAACGTCTGAAGCGGATAGAAGAATTAGTTGAAGCTAATGAAAGCGTGTTAACGATTCGGTAACGCAAACTCTTCCATATCCATTAATTTGATTTTCAGTTCCCGACATTTTAATACTTTTAAGCGTTGATGGTCTCGGGATAGATAGATGTTTCACGTCCCAATATCAGACCGAATCTGGGCTACCGTCAATTATTTATATAACTTATGGTATCTAGCAGTGCTGGTGGGCTTGCGGAATTGAGGTTTGTCAAATCTAATGTAGTGGTTGGGACGGTCTGAAGTATCATAACAAAGGCTATACCTGTTGAGCTTGAGGAAGATGCAGGGCGAGGACTTGTGGAACGAGAAGTGGTTCTCCTCGATGCAGGGCTCCCAGCCGCGGATGTCCACGTCGCACACCTTGCCGGGGGGAGGCGGATTCCTGAAGTCGCAGTTGAAGATGTTCTGCCCCGCGCCCGCGGTCTGGCCCTTCATCTTGTACACTGCGCCCCCAATTATAAACACAGGGTTTTTTTTATGTGAAAAGTTGTCAAGCGAGCAGTCGGTTCAGCTGATGTTAAGTGAATACCGCCGCCCATAGACATCCGCTGCACCCGAGGGTTGCAGATACATTGACAGCCCTTTGAAAATTGAGCTCCGGCCACCTCACTATTATACTTCCACTTTACGCCGGTATTCCGTGAGGTCGTGGTACTTACGCGGACGAGCCTGCCCATTCGTGCAACAGCCGAGGCTGCTGTGTGGCCCTACCACCGTAAAGGTTTTCTTCCGTTCAGGGTTTCTTTCAAAAAGTACCATATCGCTTTCTTTACTTCTCAGGGTTTCTTTCAAAAAGTACACCGTGACAAATCCAGAGGGGGCTACTTCGATATAGCAAGCCTATAGATCGGTGATCTCATAATGTCACGGAACCGTTTTACCGTGAAACATTACTAGAAATAAAGATCCAAGTAAAACAACTTTAGCTGTTCAACGGAATTTTATCGCTAAATTGGCGAAGTGAATTAATATTCATAAATGTGGATCCCAAGCCCTTGAGATAAAAAAAAACTATTTATTATCTTTCGTCATGTAGACGTTTGTGTAATGTTGCGTAAAGATTGTGCCCTCAAACTTGGTATGGCTTTGACATTTGAGCCAAACGGTTCGCCCAAATGTATTCAAATGGCCCGGATTGGATTGGTATATGAGCTACAGAGTGTTTAATTTTAACTTAATTACAAATATATAGTCTGTCGGGGACTACCATACAGGTAGTCCCCGACAGACTATATATGCCAAATATAATATAGAAATTATAATAATTATAATTTACGCGTACACACATTTCGATTCTAAATAAGAGCTATAAAATTGAAGGCAATTAAAAAAAAACAGCAGTCATATCGTAGGAAAACTTATTCACAGTTATTCGGAAAAAAAGAACTCATCGCCGGAGCAATAATATTCTAAAAGTTCATAGCTTCAATAAAATGTAGGAACATGATTTTTTTTTTTTAAAAAACATTGCCCTTACCTTAGGATAACATTATCCTGTGCTGTAAGGACGTTTTACAAACATAGGTTTCACGTGAACAAACACCCAGATGCGAAACAATTATTTGTGGGTCACACAAATAGTTGGTCCCGTGTGGGAATCGAACCCACGATCCCCGACGCGGAAGCCAATACATTGGCCACTGCGCCACGGAGTCCTCAAAATTGTCGAATTAAAACATTAATTTGTTTCCTTTTCTGTCTTTACAGGCAGCTATTATATTGTATTTGATTATTACCAGCTTGAAAATTACATGCTATTTGTTTATTACATCCTTTTTGTGGGACGTAATAAAAGATTTCCATCTTACAGCACGTCATCCAGTGCGTTAGCAACGCACTTTGAAAACAGAAGATTACCTAATCGAATAATTTTCATCGAAACGAGTCCATATATTAGATCTTACTATTCTAAATATGAGATAAAATATATCGATTACATAAAAAAAAAAACATTTATTTATAATGGTTTTAGTTAAAGTATGATTTTCGCGTTGTTGTTTTATCGTAAATCCTCTAATTTTCTGTCAACTCTCTTTCAATTTGTAAAGGTACACTAATTTAATTAACTATTATTATTTCATTTATTAAAATTAAAATATATTATTAGAATATTCATTGGACGTGTTTTTTTATCATGTATCTCATGGAATTAAGACTTTATCTTATTTCAACATATGCAAGATAATTATTGCGAGCCGGCGGTTCACCTGATGTTAAGTGTCAACCGCCGCCCATAAACATTGGCAACGCCGTGGTTGCAGGAGCGTTGCCACCTTTAAACAAAGCTCAGTAAAACCTATTCATTCTTGCCTTGAAGACGCCTACGCATTTGGGGAATGTGCAGCGGAAAGATACCGTGTTTGCTCACCCGAGAGAAACTCCTTGAGCTGGTCCTCCCAATACTTGTAGCTCTCGTAACTGGTGCCCTTGTACCAGATGAGGGTACTCCTCACGTCGGGGGGCAGCGGCCTGAAGCCCAGGCCGGGGCTGGTGCCTATAAGGCCGCGGTCCAGTTGGAGCCGTGGCACCCTGGGGTTGATGAACTGCTGGTGGAAGGTCACCATGCAGATGGCGAACAGCGCCACGAGCGACGCGTAGAATACTATGTAGAATATGATGATTTTGCCTGGAATCAGTCTTAGATTAAAGTCTCCCTCTGCCGGTATTTAACAGCAAATATTATCATGAGCTCAGATTGATAGGAGCATATAAGTGCACAATTTAGTTGGCTAAAATTCGACAGGAGTGATACTATGACAAAATATGACACTTTTGAGGGATGGGAGAAGATTGGGAGAGAGCAGAGGAGGGGTATTACTCCATTAAAAGGATTTTTTTTTTTTTAATTTTTAATTCTGAGGCAATTTTCCTCATTTTATGGATTAGAATTAATAATATGTGTAAAAAACAAGAGGTAGCCCCATTAGGGTAGGGGATTCCCCCCTAAGGAAGGGTGAAACAAACTATTGTTAATAGTAACCCTGTACAAATATGTAGTCTTCAAATAAAATAAGTTATATTTTATTTGAAGACTACAGGGGAAAAATAAATAATGTCAGTAAATAGTTAAAGACGGAAAATATTTTTTTTTAAGTGTTTAGTGTTATTTTGGTGTTTGACATTAAATAAAATCAATTTGTAACAATCCTGTATGTAGTGTTATGAGATGTGGTGTGAGAAAAAGAAAAAGGATTGACATAAATATTGCAAAAATAATTCATTTTAAATATTATTTTTCTCAAAAACTATGCGTCTCCGCGTGTTGAAACTTTATGTGTGCTTATAATAATGTGACCTCTCTGTAAAAAAATATCAACCAACATTTCACAGGAAGTCAATGGAAAGCTAAGCCCATTTATATCAATATTAACAAACAGACAAAATGAAATAAATACTACAATTGCAATTTCACCTTTTTACTTTTACACATTGACTAAGTACAAATGCTTTAATAGGATTATTGGCAGAGCTAACTATTACAGTTATCTATTAACACGACCTCCGTTTAACCTAATTATGTCATTATACTGTTTAATTCAGTAGCATTCTAAGGCTTGCCTATTAGAATAAAACGCTCAATTAACAAAATGTGTGTAAAAAAAATATAATCAAATGATTTTTGCCAGTTGTTTTTGAAGGTCTTAAATGCTTCAAGTAGAAAATAATTAAGACTTGAGGTGCAATGAAAAGTTTCTATAATGTGAATTTGTTACTTATAATAATTGAAAGCAATTTCGAACAATAGACTCATTAGCAAGAGTCATTTCTTTAAAAATGCATTTTGATTGAAATAATTTATTTAATTGTAACTTAACAAAAAAATCACACTTGAATTGATATGTACATTTATTGTTTTAAACAAATTATTTCAATTAAAATATCAAAGGGTTACTGAATGCCACTACGGACAGAATGCAAGAAACTTGCATGCTTTAGAAAAAGAATTGACAATGGGGGATAACTGGTAATGGGAATTTCTGTCTTTAAACCAATGAACCTTTATAGTGAAAGGAAATTATTTTTGCACATGCTCTCAACAAGTAATAAAGCAAATTCTTTAAGATTTTCTTGAAAACAGCCACGCCCTGAATAGAATTTAGGTATAAAGTTCTGCACAAAATACTATTTTATTTGCACATAAGGTATTGGATGGACTATTTAAAAAAAATCTAAAACTATGGAACGAAACTAAAAAAGTAAACAATATACACTCACCCCAACTTTCCGGGGTTCTTCCCAAAAATGCGCCAGTATTCCCATCATAAATGAAATTTCGAACTTTCCCCCTTTCACTTGATCGTGAAGGCTTCGTTTCAATTTCAAATTCTTCTAATTTTACATTACGTTGCATTTTTTAAAAGTATATACTTTTCGAGAACATAAAAGTTCAAAATAAAGATCGGCATTCGGCAACGACAGCAACTGACACCGCTGGGCCTGGCTATACGAATTCGGTCCATTGTCCAGTGTTGCCAATGCCATCAAGTTTTTACTGGTCCTGAGTCCGCTACTTTACACACAGTGCTACCAATAGTCAAACTAGTTCTACCTTACTTAAAACCAGTGCACTAACAAAAAATGCTTTACACTTTTGGGAGCCGGCAGGAGGGAATAATTAAGATGCAGTACAAAGAACAAGCCGTGTTGAGAAAAACATAATCTTTTATTGTCACTCGTTGCTATAGAAATTTGTCAATAATAGGGTAATGATAGACCGATGAGAGTACAGGGTGTAAAAGATAAGAGCGGTGCTACACAGTAGCAAATGAGTCGCCACATCACCCCCCTACGGAGAAAAATAAGTACACATTGAAGGCAAAACAAGTACAAAATGTAACAATCAAATAATTATAGACTGTTACTATAAAAGTACAAGCAACATTATTTAGGATAATTTTTAACTAATGGAATTTTAATTTATACAACGAAAAAATAAACATTGGAAACTTAAAATTGAAAAAACTCTGCTTTAACAAAAATAACGTATTAAAAACTAGTACTTATAAATCTAAAATATCTTTAAATTTAACTTTGCGACCTGACCGGGTTGTTACAGGCTGTGCGGGCGTTTTAATGGGCACGGCCGTTTGGCTCATAGGAGGTGAAAGAGTCGGAAGGACTGGGGGCTCCGGTGCCAAGTTGTTAGGGGACGGATTGCCGTTTGGGTCAGGTGCAATATACGCAGGTTTTGTTCTGTCGATGCTAACCTCAGATCTTCGGCCAGAAATGTCTAAGGTAAGTGTCTTTTCAGATCTCTTCAACACTCTGTAGGGGCCTGTATAAGGTGGCTGTAAAGGGCGTCGAACGGAATCTTCGCGGAGGAACACGTGAGTGGCATCAGGTAAGTCCTTGAAAACGAAAGTTTTAGAATTCGTGTGACGTGATGGTGGAACGGGGCGAAGTTCTGCCATCCGTTTTCGCAACTGTGCAATAAAATCATCGTCCACGGTCTGAGGGGAATTGCTAGCCACCAGGAACTCGCCTGGTAGGCGTAGCGGTTCCCCATACAAAACTTCTGCAGCTGACGTTTTGATGTCATTTTTTAGTGCCGCCCTGATTCCGAGAAGAACGAAAGGTAGGGCATGGTACCAAGAACTCTTGTGACACATTAAAGCGGCCTTTAAATGGCGGTGGAAACGCTCTATCATCCCATTAGCTTGGGGATGATAGCTCGTAGTACGAACGCGTTTTGTGGCTCCTAAATCCATTAGTCTGTTGAAAAGTTGGGATTCAAATTGACTTCTCTGGTCCGTTGTAACAGTGATCGGTGCACCAAAGCGAGCGATCCAGCCATGGGTGAATTGATCAGAGACTTCTACTGCGGTTATCGACGACATGGGCCAAACTTCGGGCCAGCGTGAGAAACGGTCTACTGCTGTTAGGCAATAAGTGAATCCGTTTGAAAAAGGCATCGGTCCAATAATGTCCAGGTGAACATGACGGAATCTGCCTGAAGGTGTGCTAATGTTGCCAAGCGGTGAAACGACATGGCGCGTTACCTTGCTGCTCTGGCAGGCGAGACACTCGCATGCCCAGGAGCGGCAGTCTTTAGAAATGCCTGGCCAAACATAGCGGTCGCTAATGAGGCGCGCGGAAGCGCGTGCGCCGGGGTGGCTGAGACCATGTAGGCGATCGAAGACGGCTCGCCGATATTGTTTTGGCAAAAAGGGTCTAGGTTTGCCTGTTGACACATCACACAAAACGGAAATGTTGGATCCAGGTATGAGGGTTGGCTCTAACTGTAAAGAAGAATGGACCTTTACGGTTTTAAGTTCGTCGTCCGTCTGCTGAGCTTTTGCCAGGGCTGCGAAATCGTCATCGAGCGTGATAGCCTCAATGCGGGACATTGTGTCAGCAACGATGTTGTCTTCCCCCTTCACATGTTTGATATCAGTTGTAAACTGGGAAATAAACGTAAGTTGGTTAAGTTGAGCAGGGGGCAATTTTTCACGGCGTTGGACGAAAGCATAAAGAAGCGGCTTGTGGTCCGTGTAGATTGTCGCGTGTTGTGCCTCTAGTATATGCCAGAAATGCTGTACGGCCGCGTACACTGCGAGAAGTTCGCGGTAATACGCGGGCCATGTACTTTGGCTCAGTGTTAGCTTTTTGCTAAAGAATGCCAACGGCTGCCAGCCTTGATCAGACCTTTGCTGTAAGGCAGCGCCGACATGAGTGCATGGTGGCCTCTGAGAGACTGTCGCGACAGTCGTAGAAAGCACGCTCCAAGTCTGCTGTCCAGGGCATAGCTTTTGAACCTTTTAGGTTGCTGACTGTTAAAAAATCCACAAGTGGAGCTTGGAGCTTGGCGGCTTTGGGAAGAAATTGGTGGTAATAATTTACCATCCCCAGGAAGCGTTTCAAACCTTGAGCTGTTTTGGGAAGCGATAACTCGCGGAGAGCAGCGATCTTCTCTTCAGGTGCGCAGATACCATCCTTGGTTATCTTATAACCTAGGAAGATTACCTCACATGTCCCCAATACGCACTTATCCACATTGACAACGACGCCATAGTCCACCAGTCTTTGCAGGATTATGCGCAGGTGTTTGGCGTGCTCTTCAGCATCCCGTGAGAATACCAAAATATCGTCAATGTAGGGAAAAGCGAAGTCTAGTCCGCGCAAGATCTCATCGATGAAACGCTGGAAGGTTTGGCCAGCGTTGCGTAACCCAAATGACATATAGGGAAACTTGGAAAGACCAAATGGCGTTATTATGGCCGTTTTGCAAACATCTGGACCAGCTACCGGAATCTGCTGGTAGGCCTTTACTAGATCTAATGTGCTAAATATAGTAGAACCAGCCAGATTATGACTGAAGTCTCCTATATGACGCACAGGGTACCGATCGGGAACTGTCCGAGCGTTTAAGAGCCTGTAGTCACCGCAAGGACGCCACATGCCATCCTTTTTGGGTGCTAAATGCAGTGGTGACGACCAGGGGCTTTTAGATGGGCGAGCAGTACCCGCCGACACCATGTCATTAAATTCCTTCTCAGCAATTTTTAGCTTGTTGGGTGCTAGTCGACGAGGACGCGACGTGACAGGTGGCCCACTAGTTGTCGTTATATAGTGAACAGTGCTGTGTTTTATTTGACGGTCAGCTGTAGGTGGGCGCGTCACTTCCGGAAAGACTAAAAGGAGTTGACTGAACAGGGAATCGCGAGACGGTTTTTTTACGGTCCTAATACTTGGCTGCATTATATTGCGGTTAAAACAATATGCGGATAAGTTTGTAAGCTCATCGCGCAGTGTGCCGCTACGGCAGTCGGGTAGGAGGTGGAAGAAAGCTAGGAAATCCGAACCGATAATTGGGACATCCACGTCAGCACATATAAACTCCCAGCGAAATTCACGGCGCAGTCCTAAATTGAGGTTCAGATTAACTGTGCCGTAAGTTTTAATGGAGCTGCCATCTGCCGCATTGAGAGTAAGTCCTGTATTTGAGAAACGTCCTTTTATAAGTTTTCGTGGAAAACAACAAATGTCCGGTATCTATCAAAAAATTAATTTTGGTATTTTGATCGGTAATAAAAAGGCGTTTGCTGGACTGTGCGCGGTCGGTACTTGCCACGTCCGACCGCTCCCTTAGTTTAAAGGTTTGGTAGCTCCTTCAATGGTCCAGCTGCATCCTGGTATGCATTTGCTTGCTTTGTTGCCGAAACGATCGTGGTACCAGCAAAGCTTCTGATTACGTGGGCGTGAGCGCGATCGAGAGCGGCTCCGCTTTTGATTAACGCGTGAGCTCCCAGATCGTTCATGGGTGTTTGTTCTGAGCGCTGAGACTGTTCGCGTCAATTCCTCGATCTGCCGCTGCATTGACGCGAGAGTGGGCTCAAAGGTATGATGCGCCGAAACCTGGCTCACGGTGGTAGGCCTCTCGGTCAACTCCACCAACTGGTCGGCCATCTCCACCAACTCCGTCAAGTCCTGGATCTTCTGTGCGGCCAACACAATTTGAACCTGCCGGGGAAGCCGATTGGCCCAAATTGATCGCAGCAAGTCAGCGGGGAACGATTGCCCAGCCAGACTCTTCAAGTGTCGCATGAACGAAGATGGCTTGCGGTCACCTAACTGTTCCTTTTCTAGTAAGCGCCGCACCTTCTCCTCGAAGGAATCGGAGAATCTAGATATGATTGCGCTTTTTAAAGTTGTGTATGGTTGCAACTCGGGAGGATGTGTGATAATATCTTCGACCTCCTTCGTACACTCGGTATCTAAATGCGCCACGGCGAAATGAAACTTCGTCACTATCATTCGGCTATTCGCTGCGAATTGATTAATTTTCCGAAGTTCACTGAATTTCACCACGATTTAAATTGAGCATGTTCAATTTTACACTCTGTGAATACGTATCCGCTGTAAGACTAGGTATTTATCACGAAATATAAAACACAAGTATTTTCTCCAATCTGTTGTATGAATACACGTTATATTTACAAAAAAAAAATTTATTGTATGCCAGCTGTCAAATCCTTAAGAATGACACATAATTGTCAATGTCAAACTATCAGCGACAAAATCAAATTGAATTGGAATTACAATTGTAGTACAACTCGGAACCCGATTGCTTATTTATTTCATTTTGTCTGATGTTATTATTGATAGTTAAAACTGTTACTACTGCCAGTATTAATTCCATAATCGTTTTATATTAAGATGGCGTCTTTACACAAGATTATTGTAATAGTTGGTTTCATATCATTATTTCACTCCGCCTTTTCAGCAGCGCAGCGTAAGTTACTTTTAATATCTACTACTTATATTAAATAGTGAAGTTACTTTAATGATATGCTTTTTGTTTACACTAATTCACAATTTTAAATGAAACTATGCACTTTTTTTAACAGATCGTTCCTACTTAAGGATTACCTCCCAAGAGTTTACAACTTTACCTCTGGACGTGAGTAGCAGGCTATCACTCGTATATTTTATCCTAAATTTATTATTATCAAAATAATTTATGATATTTTTTGTTTCCAGATTGTTGTACAGGCAGTTTTAAGCTTATTTGCTGTGATGTGGGGCGTGCTAAATGTAGCTGGTAATTTACGTGAAATACCAGCTGCTGCAGAACTTAACAACATTCGCTGGGAAACACAGCGCAACCTGCCATCTTTCTACACCTTCAACCATAGAGGAAGAGCACTTGCATTTAATTATATACCTAGTGCAAGTAAAAGTGAATTAGATAATCTAGAATAAATATTCGTAACATGGTTTATTTTAAAGTGGATGTTGTAATGATGTTTTTAGTATTTATAGTAATGTTATCAGAAAAAAATCTTTAACAAATCAAGAACATGAATGAAATGACTTCATAAGTGTCATCTTTGGTTATGCATAGAACTGCTTGGGATAGGATGGTTAATTTGTATTTGTTTTATACCATGAAAAAAATAAATATGAAAGGATTGTGTAACACAAAATATACAATGGGCTTATTAAAATGGTTTACAAATATTAAGTAGTTAAGGAGATAAAAATACATTTTATAACAAATTTGTTTTCCATTTTATGTACCTTTAAGTGAAAAACAAAGTTCAGTAATTGACAGTCTAATTTATTTTTAACATGTCATGATGGTAGAATAAGTCATTCATGAAAGCCAGCATAAGTCTTAATAGAAAACTGTAAGGTACAAGTTTTTGTCTAAATACTTTTTACATAACAAAAATTGTTTGGGTTATAAGGCCACTGACAAAAATAGAAAATAAAGGTAAAAAAATTTAAAGAGACCATTCCAAAATATTATTTAATGTTACAATAATTCTTTATAGATACAGTCATAATGCTAAAGCATTTCACATTTTGCTTGCTGTGTATATTTAGGTATACATAATACCTTTTAGTTATATAACAAGTCCAAATGTATTGACTTAAAATTAAGATATTGTTAGTATATTTGACAATTTTTATCTTCAGGCCCTATAAAAATATATACCAATATACAATTCACATGCTTGTCATTCATAAATCGTATTCTGCAAACAGCAACAAACACAACTTTATTATACTGATACTAAGTTTTGAATGGTTCTAGTAGAGTAACAACCAGCATATTCATGAAACTTATTGTTAATTAGTCACTTTTACGAAGACATTGATGGTCAATTAGCCACTTTATGAAGAAACTGGAGTTTGTTTATAACTAAAAATTAACACTTTGTCTTCAGTAGTTCAGTATCTGCCGCGACCGCCGCGGAAACCACCTCCTCTACCACCGCCCCCTCCGCCACCACCACGACCGAATCCACCGCCACCACCGCCGCGGCCGAAGCCACCACCTCCCCTGTTGAAACCGCCACCGCGGCCGCCGCCCCCTCTGTTGAAGCCACCGCCACGACCGCCACCACCCCGATTGAAACCTCCACCACGACCTCCCCGCGGGCCTCCACGGCCGACGCCTCTTTTCGCTCCCGGGGGTTGTGGAAGGAACCTCTTCAAAGGCAATAGTTTCGCTGGGTCAATAAAAAACTGCTGGCCATCTTTAAAACTCTTCGCTTTTATGTTATCTCCTAGTTTCACTGACACGTAGTAATCTCGCAAATTACCAAAAATTTCATCGATTTTACCGATCTGTTCTTTGTTTTCTAAGTAAATCGGCGCGTTAAAGTAAGGCACATCTTCAATATCCACTTTACAAACTAAGTCGTCTTGAACAGTCCATCCGTAATGTCCAAGCGGTATCACCGATTCAGGTGGACCAAAATCTTGTTGCCTGTAACCGCCGCCGCCGCCTCCGCCACGACCTCGGCCACCGCCGAAACCTCCACGACCTCCACCGCGGCCTCCAAATCCACCACGGCCACCTCCACCTCCTCTTCCGCGAAACGACATTGTTTAATAAAACAGTTGTTGCAAAAATAACCTAAATAGAGGCGTCGTATTTTTAACACATGCGTTTTTGATTTTTGACTTTAGTTGTCAGTTTTTCCCTTGTCAACTTGTCATTTTTATGTTTTTTTTAATAAAGATTTTATGGCCTAGTAACAAGACCTTTAAGCCAATCATTTTTATATATCTAATATCTAAGTACAGAATGCCAACACCTTCATACATTCTACCAAGTTATTTACATTTGCCTTTATTTGTTCTTTTAGGAATAGGGAAATATATTTATGTGGGAAAGGTTAAACATAAAGGAAATGACTACGTGGTCACTCTAACTGTATTTATTCGCGACTAATAGGTAAACTTAATCGGCGGGCGCAGCCGCCTCTAATTACTCAACGTTGACACACACATACATATCCCTTACATGCATATACTCGTACATACAAAACTCAGTCATACTGTACCTACAGTTCTATATTGCAATTACTCTAATAAGGATCACAAAAGAAGAACTAAATACCTTTCGGCGTTCTCGTTTTTTCAACCTGGGATATGGTGATAAATTGTAGTAGTTGAATCAACATATACGTACACGTTATAATAACTTCTTAAAAACATACATAAAGAAAGTATAACTAAAACATACAAATATATTCACATATAGACATATAAATATAAAGATACGAACGTTGGTGACATAACGATAACATGTATAATTGCAACATAAAATGGGTCCTATAGGTATAAGTCACCAAGAGTTTGTACTAGCTTTACGTATGCCATCAGGTGACACAAGCACATCTCACCTATGAATATGTATGTAGTTACAATCCTACCTTGGCTGACACCGACACCAAAACTAATAATAAATGTAACTACATAATATTATCGTAATAATTTGACTGACTTTTAAATTGTGTATCTTGTATTAACTGATGTTTTTGCTTTCAGTCCCGAGACTATTAAAGCTTCATCTGACGCAGAACCGGTGGGCTAGCCAGAACCCACGGGTTTGGGCCCTCCGCTGTGGGTAGGGCCGCGCATGTGCTCATGCGTGCGTTTAACTACGACATGTCATCTAAGGGCCATCGAAGTTGCGGTGCGGACCGAGACCCCGATGGCCGTCGACTATGTTTTTAGCTAATCGGTGGCTGGGGGCGGTGAGAACCGCCCTGGAACGTGGGTGTACCTTGTGTACGCGTTGTGTTGATCTCGCCGTGCTCGGAGGCGAGGGCGAACTATTGTGTTTGTTGGTACACTAGCTGTGGGTGTAGTGTTATCCGGCGGGACCCCCGGCGGTGGGTCCGGCGTATCTAAGTCCCCTTCCTCGACCGGGTCGATGAGGACGTTTCGCGGGCGACGCTTGTTGACGTTCGCGTTTGTGTCGGGTTGGTAATTTGCTGCGCTTACCACCAGAGGGTTGGGATGATGTTCGGCTCTATCGAAGAACCGTTTAGTCAGGTCTTTAAAATATTCGCGAATCGTCAGGAGTCTGCAATCGCTGTGCAGATCGACGTTGCGTTGATACCACTGCGCACCGGTTGCACAGCGGATGAACTTATTTTGTACTACTTGCAGCTTGTACAAGCGGGTAGGGTGCGTGTGGGTGAAGATCATGCATGCGTAGGACATAATAGGTCGTACGCAGGTCTTATATAATAAGCCTGCCTTAAGGGCATTTTACTTTTAGCGTTAGTTAAATTGTGTAGCCGGCCGGAGACTAACGCGGCTCTATTACGAACGTTATTATTTTAAATTGTAAATACATAGATCGTACCTACATATTGCTGAGTAGAAGTAAGTTGATTATTAAGTTGTAGAAGATATCTGTGGAGGAGGAGGTGGCAGTGGTGGTGACAACTTGATGCCACGACTCTTGGCCACCCGTTGTAGTACCGCACAACGCCTATTATTTGCTGCGTGCGCTTTTGCGCAGTTGGCGCACTTCGGAGGTTCGCTCTTGCGCGGACATTCGGCCGATATGTGTGCGCCAGCGCAGCGCACGCAGCGCAGGGGTCGGTAGCAGTTGGCAGACGCATGCCCGAACCCCTGACAGCGGTGGCATTGTGCGGGACCGCCTTTACCATGCCAGGCCTCTATTGTGATGCCCGGCATGTTTAACACCTCGGTCACATCATATAGACGTTTTAATTCGTCTTTCCGATACTTTGTTATGATCAAAACCTAATCAAACTCTCATCAAACCACCCTTGAAGTACATTATTACTTCCTCAGAATAGGTCCCACTATGGCCATCCAAGCCGTGTAATTGTCCACCTTTCGTTAATAGGGATCATGGATATGAAATGGAGTGGAAGGCGTTTACTTACGGACCTCTTCCAACTAAGCTGTCAAAGCCATCGAGCTAACAGCAAGCACCACATGGGTATATAAAAAGACTTTAATTATTTGTAAATACAGAAAACATTTATAGTCTATATATATATATATATTATCATGAAACATACTACCAATAACAACATAATGAAATGTCGATTGATTGTTTGAGAAATGTCAGCTTGTCAAGTTCTCAAACGTCAAACTGACCAAACACTCAAAATCTCATAAAGTCAAACAGTTTAAAAATGGGAATCGGCCTAGTACATGTAATATTTCTTAATAATTTAAAGTGAGTTATAAGAAAATCTCAGTTTATGCTTACTTAACTATAAGTTTTTGAATACCTAACATTACAGTATGTCTGATCTTGAAGATGAAATTAAAGTCCTTAAAGAGACAAATAATGAATTGGTACAAAAAGTACAGTATTGGAAGATGACCGCCGCGCAACGAGAAAATGAAAAACTGGAGCTTATGAAAGAAATTAATGAACTTAGATTAAAGCTAAGTGTAAGTTCCTTTATATATCATTTGGATAATTGAGAGTTCTTTTTCTATACATATTTAATAAATGCTATCGCAAAAAAGTGCACTTTTAGAATCCTTTCTAATAATGCCATTTTGAACTTACAAAATTTAATACAATGGTTGAGTATTTTAGATTGGAGAAATCATTATTTATGTACTTTTTAATGAATTGGAAATATCAGTTTAAACTAACATTATTACATTAAACTAAATAAATTTATTAATTATTTATAAGGTATATGATAGGAGTGTCCGTGCTTAAAAATTACACCTTTATTGGTTTTTAATTCCAGATCATTGCTTTCTTTATTTTTAATTTTCCCTTTTTTTTTTAGTTCTTTCTTTTGTGAAAAACATCAGTTCATATTTTCTTATTATTACGTCGGTAAGATCGAAAAAGATTATGCATATTTCATTACTCAGTAATTTGTATCTAAATGTAATTTCCAAAACACACGAATTTACCAAAAAAAAAAAAACCGAGCAAAGCTCGGTCCTCCGGGTACTGTATATTATATTTACATGAACTTCAATAGAGGATAAGAAGTGGCGGAGCGGCGCAGGTGCGTCAGCTAGATGCAGCTTTACAGGCTGCCAGCCAGGAGGCACTTACCCACTTGGTACAAGCCTCAAGCGCTGTTGCTCGGACAATGGACCTCGCAAAAGCTTACATGAGGGACAGACAAGAGTTGGATGCTGCTTCGCCACGCTGGAGCTCTATCAGCGGCACTCCTGCGTCAGAGAAAGTGAATAGAGTTCCACCGATGTTGATTGGTGGCCAATCAATTCAGCCGGTGGTATCGCTTAGCAGAACCTTGGTCTATAATAGAAGCACACGTAAGTTTCACTTTCCCTTTAGCATTGGAATAAAACCACTGCATATTATATGCATAAACAAGCATTAATTGAAATATAGCTTCCAATATCACAATTTATAAATACATGTAAATCGGCAAATAAATTTGTTGACACAGTGAAAATTGGAAAATGTTAATGTTGCAATAAATTGACTATATTTTAGGCGTAACAAATTGTTTAGCAATTATTGCTGATTATGTAATAACTATAACTGTAATTTATTAATATCATGTAAATAAAAAAAAAAGTTGTCTTTATGTAATAGTTGTGTTGTGTAGACTTGGTGAGTTTTATTCAATGACACATTCCTAATGTATATGAACTTTGAGACTTTTTTTAACATTATGGAATGGAATTGCACATATGGAAATTTTGCAATAATTTCCCACAGTCCAGAAAATTTTACACAATATTTTTTTATCTTCCTGTAACAGTATGATATCCTGTTTTATCCATTTCAGGTACTCTAAACAGAAGCCCAAATCAACAAACCCGTAATGTTACTGAGCGGGCTGTGCCTATCCATATGTTACAAGGTGCTTGCATCCTACATAACATAATATTAATAATTTGTTAGTCATTTTCTAAACCATTTCTCATACTGATGTTTTGCAGATTTATACATACCATTGACAAGGATAGATGCAACAGAAACACTTCGCAACATGGAAACTGATGCAGGTTCAAATAATAGAGATGATAGCACTGAAGACCTTGGCCTAGATGGTGTGTATTGTCATCCATAATAAATTAAAAATGTTGATTAGCCATGCTGATGCTTCATGTTTTTTTTTAAATGATTCAATTGAACAACGACAACATTTTTATACAGGCAGATAAATTTAAAAAAGATATGTAGCCTTGCCTTTAACTTTAACTTTGATAGACATAGTAGACAATTGTGGTCATCTCAAAATTTAAAGAATGACGTTAAAGCATACAATACACTCCCGTAAATAAACCTATGATTAATTGAAGATATAAATAATACTTATGGGTGACCTTTTACTTTCCAGATAGCAGTGAACATGTTATTGATGAGTCGCAAAACATGTCTGATATTGACGAGTTCGAGAACTCGTAAGTTGTTAAGTATTAATGTGAATTATCCATAGATAAACATATACAAAATGCATGAAATTATTGAAAGAACCATAAATTATTTAAATTTTATATCATATAATCACTGATGTAACTCTATGGTGCATTTTATATATTCTCATTATATAGTAACACATACATTATTCTAATAAATCTACATAATAATTCTGTGTTAATTTTTTTTCTATTTGAATTAATCTTTCATAATATTTGAATTTAAAATGATAATGATGATACTGAAAATTTAATTGGCGATCAATATTTAATTTCATGGCTTAACAGAAGGAGACTTGAAGCAGTTACCGAAGACTTGGAGCCAGAAGATGAGGAACAAACACCTCCATCTGTTCCAAGGTATATTACGTTATGTTCTTTTTAAAACAAGTGTTACTAAGAAAATTCAGTTATTGCAAAAGATGGAGAAACTTTTGATGTTTTTTTAATAAAATTGGCATTATTTTCAGGACAAGATCAGAAAACCCATTGGAAGGTCCAAGCTGGCTGTTGGATATACAAAATACGCAGGTATTTAAATAGTTATATTGTTTTACTTCCATTCATTTTAAACCTTTTTTGTCTCATGTAGGTTTACAGTGTTTAGATGTTTAAATTCTGTCATCATATTTCACTTACAATTAGCGTATTTTGAGCCGTGATAGCTCATTTGTCTCGGCGCTCGCCTTTAATTCAATATACTCGAGCAACCTTAGTTCAATCCCCGGAGCCGGGGCCTATGAAATTGTTAATTTTAAGTGTTGACTTATCACGTGTTAGGCGGTGAAGGAAAACATCGTGATGAAACCTGCAAATTTTCTAAATACATAACAACTAAAAAAAATTCAAATACAGCGTGTCGTTACCATCGCGACAACAAATGAACGTCTAACGCTACTTGCCAATAATCATAAAAAAATATTAACGTTAAAAAATCCATAATTAAAAAAAAATATTTTTCAAACAAACTAATTAAGTAAAAAAGAAACAAAATTTGTAACGTCCTATACAACTACAACTGACTGATTCATACATTCAGAAACTTTTTCATTCGTTGCCACAGCGTCGTTAAAGGCCTCTCCTTCTAACAGTATGTTTTGTCTCTTTTAAATTCATTCAACCCAATCATATGCTTTGTGACCTTTACAAATGAACTTTACGTAACAGTTTTATACGTAAGGGTGTTCTAAAATTCTTTGTTTTGGAAAATTTAATAACTCTGGAAATATTGATGTTTAAAGAATGTAAATGTTTAATACAATTTTAAAAAGTAATACCCTATATGTGTGTTCATTTATTGTCGCCATTGTAAAGACACGCTGTATATGTGAAGTCAATCTTCAGTGGGGTCCCGTTGTGGAATATCCTCTGCACAGAAGAGGCCTATGCTCAGCAGTGGGACATATACAAATGTATATCTTCATATGTTTCTTATTTCTTGTAACTTATGTATATCTAAACGGCTGGACTGATTTTATACACTACCGCATTTATCACTACATTTTTTTTTTATTCATAAGTTGTTGGATATAAGTCGTGTGTACAGGATAACGTATGTAGGGTCCGCTAGCTCATTATAGTTCATTGTATTCATGTTATATGCATCCATACTCAAATAAATAATAGAATTATTGTATTTATTTCAATTTTATATTTATTTCAACTTTAACCGGATACATACAAATAAATAAATTTAAACACATCTATCCAGCCGAGGAGAGAAAAATTTCTCGTCAACTTGGAACCAGACTCCACAACGGAACTGCAGGAGAGTGGGCACCCAAGCACCGCTTCACCAGCAGTAGAAACACAGGTACAAAACGCACGTCTTGAACCCTTACGAGGTAGAACGGAGAGGCTAGCGTACCACCACTTCAGTCCAAACGTTAGATGTTATTGATTGTGGAATCGAGCCTAGCGTCTAACAGTGTTATAATTCTTAAGTTCTCCGTGGGGACTGAAATTTTAACACTGGAAGAATACCACGACTTTCACTGGCAGTAGAGACCGTTGTGTTAAACTTAACCACCAGTAGATGGTACATGTGGATGAATAGGTTTTAGTAATAAGATCTTTTATTTAAATGGATTGTGTGGTTGCGAAAGTTTACATTTCCATGTAACTGTACATTTAATGTGTACCTCAATGAGTATATTCAAATATTATATTTACAGAGATGTTCAATCACCCAATAATAATTTTTCCCATTCTGGTTGTGAACTTTGTGTATTAGAAACACCTATAATACACAATATAATAATATCCCACAGTTGTGGCAACAATACTTAAAATATTAAAAGAAATATTTGAAAGTTAGAAATGGGTGGTCACTCATTTGTTTAATAATTTTAAAGGAAACAAAAATGATAAAATACTCGTACATTTGTGCACACTGAATAAGGAGTGACTTACACCTTTATCGTAAAAAAATAGACACGCTCAAGCTATGAAGCGTGAAAAACAAAGGCACACATATGACTTTGAGAGCCAATGGTTCGTCTCTCGCGCGGGGATTGATTAACTGTGGTAGATTGATTAGATGTGGCAGATTCCGGTGTTGCACGAATGGGCAGGCCCGTCCGGGGTGCGACTTCAAGGAAGTCCGGCGTGAAGTGGAAGTAACACTTATGCGTTTCGTTCGGTGAGTGTGAATGAATGAATGAATGAATGAATGAATGATAACTTTATTGTACACTACTACTGATATTGAATAATCAACAACAAATAATACAAATCTGTACAATAGAAACAACCTAGAAAAAGGAGACAATAAAAACAGTAGTACCCGGTACTGTGAGGGTAACGAGTAATGGTGTACACTGAAATGATAATGAAAACTAATAAATAAAATATAAATATACCTATATTAATAAATTATAGAAACTTCATATACATTACAACCCGATTGGCGTAGCGGGTAGTGACCCTGCATCTTGCGCCAAAGTGTGGGGGTTCGATCCCCACCTGGAAAAATATTGATGAACATGGGTTTTTTCCAGAGTCTCGGTGTTTATATACTTATAATATGCATTTATTTACATAAAAGAAAAGTATGTTTATTAGTTGTCTAGTACCTATAGTACAAACATTGCTTATTTTGGGACTAGAAAAAGTTGCGTAAAACAAATGTGTCCTGAAACTTTTAGTTTAAACACTAAATAGTTACTTAGCGTGGTAGCCGACGTACACTTTATTATGTGGTGGCAACATATCACTTAACATGGGGTTATCATGAACTGAACCTAAACATGGCATTGCTGTGCAGGGCTCGCGGCTGGCGGTGGCTGTGGCGGGCGTGGGGTGCGAGTTCTCCCCGACGGTGCGCCGCCGCAAGCGCACCTCGTCGCCCCCCGCCCCCGCCCCCGCCCCCGCCCCCGGCCCCGCCACGCCCCACTACTCGCCGCGACCCAACAGGTGCAAGTTATTCATTGACCCCCCCCTAATGTCTCACTTCCACTTTCACGTTCTATTTATGCTCGAAATATTAAAAAAAAACTTACATCTTGAGGTATATACACTCCACAATATGTAATGCAATCAATTGACTATTTGCTTCAAACTAAGATAGCGTAGTATACTGAATTGTTCTCATTATTATTCCATTATTCTTCAAAATAGGATATCTCTCTTTGGTAAACATTTACTTGCACACAGTCAGGTCAATTAGTTTCATTGAATGCGATATAAAATTCAACATATCAGCAATAATCACGCAGCCTCCTTGCTAATACCAGTTTTTTTTTATGTGAAAAGTTGCCAAACGAGCAGACGGTTATCCTGATGCTAAGTGAATACCGCTGCCCATAGACATCTGCTACACCCGAGGGTTGCAGATGCGTTGACAACCTGTGGAAAATTGGGCTCCGGCTACCTCACTCACCAGACGAAACGCGAAAGTATTTGTCATACTTCCACTTTACGCTGGTCTTCTGTGAGGTTGTGGTACTTACCCGGACGGGCCTGCCCATTCGTGCAGCAGCCGAGGCTGCTGCGTGGCCCTACCACTATAAGGTGGTTCTAATTATTATATTACTCTTACCAAGTTGATTCTAATTGGAGGACATAGACAAACCACTGTCTGTCTGACCACTGTCTGGCCATGGGGCTCGTAGTGAGCTCACGTTTAAGTGCGGTAATCGGTTCCAGCACCGGCGGGCGTGTGCTCAAAGTGATGGTGGCGAAGTTGAGATTGGAGGAGAACGAGGAAGGGAGTGGGGACGCGTCGCCCCCCAAGAGGGCGATGCGGGACACGTCGCCCCCCAACAGGGCGATGCGGACCACTTCGCCCCCAAATAGGGCGATTCCGAACACGTCGCCCCCCAAGAGGGCGATACGAGAGCCCTCCCCAGCCGGTGGGTCCAGCCCGTCGCTGCCGGACAGGTCACCGCGAGAGCCCTGCAGGAAGGACCGGTCGCCGAGGAGGCTGATGCGCTTCGACGCGCCCAGCCCCAACGGCGCGACAGACGCCCGAGTCATAGTCTCGTAAGCGATCTTTTTCAACAATATCTATGCGATAATAAGTGCTTCAGTCTAACGCACATATTTCATACACATATGTACCATTTATGTGTATGTGATTCTACTTCATTTGGTGAGAGAATGGGTGTTTAATATTTTTTTAATATATTGCGATTCCGTTTGATTAACAAATCTGCATCGGAACATGAAATTTCTTGGCCCGAGCGAGAGCTGCGCTGGGTTAAAGTTTATCTGTAAATGCCCTGCAGAGAAACGAAAAGCGCGCCGTGTGGGTCCGGCGAGCCGAGCGGCACGTCGAAGGCGGCAAGCGGCCGCGACACGAGCGGCACGCGCGTCACGGATCGCGACACGCGCGTCACCGATCGCGACACGCGTGACACGGAGCGCGACACGCGTGACACGGAGCGCGACACGCGTGACACCAGCACCGGCAGTCGGCGAGATCGCATGAGCCGTCGCGACGCATGCGAGAGTGACGCCCGCGACAGCGATAGCAGCACCGAGAGAACGGAGGGCCGAACGCGCCGGCCCAGGAAAGCGGTCACTTACAAGGAGAAGCCGCTCAACAGGTATGGCTGCTTGTGTTTTACTGTTATAGTATGTTTGACTTTTTCTTATTTATCAAATTTTCACCATGTTCACTAACATTACAAATTTGAACCCTCATATTAATGTGCCTAAACAAAACACACACACTCTCACGCACATATTTATCTTTTTTTATTCTATCTCCTTACACCTGGACAATACTTATAAACTTTCATTTATATTTACATAGCCAGTTCTTTAATCGTTGTTAACTATGCTTAACTTGATTCCATGGCGTGAGGAGGTCCTCATGTCACCAAGTGGTGATCTGTAATACAGTAATACATCTATAATAGACACCAGCTCTATACAATTACTTTATTAATTTTTTTACTGAAGCTGTATCGACTGTACAACATAATATTGTATCATCTTGTCATATATTTTGAGGAGAAATAAAATACATTATTATTATTTTATTTTGTGCGGAACGGGTTGGGTAGTCACTGTGATCTAAAAGATCTATTGTAGTCTTCCTTTCGAAAACACAGCTCCTTACTGTAGGATAAAATTATCTTGTGTTGTAAGAATGATTTATATACATAAATTTCATGTGGAAAAACAGCGAATAAATGGGCAGGTCTGTCTGGGGAAGTGCCATTACATCACAGAAATCCGGCGTGAAGTGGATGTGATATACTTTTGGCGACGATTATCACTTAACATCAGGTGAACCTCCAGCTCGTTTACCACTACCTTCTCATATAATTAATAATTTGCGTTTACCTGATTCAAACATGATACAAATGAACATGGTTTCACATAGATTAAAAAATTATGACAGTGGTATCCATCTGTGATTTCAGATAGAACAACTAGGTTATTTATACTTGACCCTTTTTGCTTTCAGGAAGTTACGGAGGTGATGGGAAAACGACAGATTAAAATATAACACATAAATGTTTATTACATGTATCCTTTATAAATCATGTTACTGTATTGTTTAGCCTATAGAGTTATGAGATAATTTTTACACCACAAAGTATTAAAATGGAAAGTTTACATTAAGGAGCATTTATAAATTAGATGAAATGTTATAAAATATTTATAATTAAGGCAGTGGTGGCTTAGTTCTCATTATGTGGTTGTGGGTTCGAGACTGTGGGGTATGTAAATGATTTCTCTATTTAAGGATAATGAAAAAACAATATATTCATCTTATATACGTTTTCACTCTCATTTGCCAGCAGGGCCACCACCAGCCATAGTAGTTAGAGCTTCTAAATTACAGTACTTAGTGGAGATATATAGGGCTACAAGACTGATAAACATTCACCAGTACTAAATCCTTAAGACTTGTGGTGTCCATCAGTTACGAAGATGTTCTTAATAATATATAAAGTACCTGAGCGAGCTTAGTATTGGAGTGTATTGATCAGCGCCATCTATCGTTGTACTAATAACTACTAATACTAATACTAGAGTTCATCTGAGAATCTAGACTAATTGATTTCTCTAATATATTATTACCTAGTGAAGATTGTTACGAATTTCATACACAAAAACCTCTATCTTTATATATATAATTCTTCTATACGTGTGTAGGGAACGACATCTGTTCGGTCCGCTAGTAACTTCAACTTTTTTTATTTATAAATTGTCGGATTTAAGTCGTGTGTACAGACTACGTCTGTTGGGTCCGCTAATATATCTAGATATGTCTATAGCAGTTGACCTTTTAACATAAATTATGAAATATATTTATTTTTTTTAAAAACATTGCACTTACTCTAGGATAACATTTACCTATGTTGTAAGGACGTTTTACAAACACAAATTTCACGAGGTCAAACACCCAGATGCGAAACAGCTATCTGTGGGTCACACAAATAGTTGTCCCGTGTGGGAATCAAACCCACGACCCCCGACGCCGAAGCCAATACTTTGGCAACTGCGCCACGGAGTCATCAAAATTATTAACTGGCATTTAGATTTAATTTTGTACACCCCACCTCGCTGCACTTCATTGTCACGGTATACCGTTTGATTGAATATGTACGACATCTGGATATGTTTGAGTTTTTTTTTAATGAAATAGTTCTTTAAGCCACACTGTCGTAAATATACATCTTTATTCTGCTAGAATATCAAATGAACGAAAATTTTTGAAGGCTTTCCGTTTTCTTTTTACATTTCCTGTGTAACATTGTATACTATTTAAAAGTTAATAAAAATTGTGTTTACAAAAATATATTGCATTTTATTTAGTACAGACTTATTTCGATAAATATTATTTTGTTGTAATTGTTTATTCAGTTTTTGCTCCATATATTAAAATTAATCATCTCATTACTAAAGAATACACAAAATTATAGAATTATTTCGTTTATAACACTTGTTTGTCACTTTTATAACACTTGTAATTTTTTCAAAACTGTTAAAATGAAATATGCAAAACAAGCTTATTTGATTTACACAGGATCATATATTTAGCACATGAAAAATCACTTATTGTGTCAAGTAATTTTTGTTATTAAACTTAAATAATCATCTTTATATACCTTTGTTTGGTTTGTTATAAGATGCATATTATTAGATGAATAACCATTCAGTTTAACTATAAACAACATTCAATTTCCATAGAGGTAAAATTGAAGTGATTCCTTGTGTTAATTGACGGAATCTCATCAACTTTAATTTAATAATGATTAAATATTGCATTTAAATTTTTTTTTACTTATGTTTGCTTAGATTGTCACATATTAATGAAAAAAAGTTCGTCATTAATCACTTACATAAAATTTGCCTAAATTATTTAAAAAAAAACAGATTTATGGATGGATTTGTCCTGGTTTTGCCTTCACCATGAAAAATGAATCATATTTGAGCAACATTGGCAACCTGTTATTTTAAAAAGCATTTATTATCTACTATTAAACTAAAATGACCAACTCGTTGAGCGAGTTTCAGTTAAAACAAAGGTTTAGTTGTGTGTAGGCCTAGCTAAATAAACAATAGACATTGTTTTTTTTCTTTTATTTGAACATTACAATAAATACTATAAACTGTATAAATTTATTGGGTGATAAAAAGGATGACGATAGATAGTATGTATGGTATGCAAAATTGTCTCGTTAATTATAAATTATATGTATTGTATGTGATTTACATATTTATTGCATGTTATGTATAATAATAATTGTAGATTTTACTCTATCGATTGCTTAGGGATAAAGTCAACTTGTTTTTAAATCTGCAATATGTTTCTTTTCATTAATTTCATTCTTAGTGTAAAGAAAACTGTTAAGAACATACTCATTTTGCGGGGATACAAAAACAACGAATTTCTCGTTATTTAACACTACCTCAGCCTGATCTTAAACTCTTATCATATTATATTTATTACAACTTTATTACAACTCTCAGGCATCGTACAGCGTAGGTATGTTTAGAAAAATTATCGGAAATACCGTGATATTTGGGTAAGTTTAAACTTTTTTAGCAACCACAATAAGACGGACAAATGTTCAAAGAATAAATCGCTCAAGTGTACCTCAGAATTTTGTATAAATAGTCGATTCTGTCGTTATATATCTTGGATCCACTTGAACCACTTCACTCCATAATGGAAGACCGCTCACGAATTTTATTAAATTTGAGCATCTCATACGATTATTTGAGTAAGTTAAATAATAGTTGTTAATTTCTAAAAGGTTGCTGTGGTTTTTCTAAAAGGTTCTAATTGTTGTGAAAAGAAACATAGGCAGCCGCCGAAATCTTACAAGCTTTCATTGCAATGATGCGAACATTAACTCTTATTCATGTCTAGTTAAATTCAAATACATATAAACCGATTTTAACTCAAAACAACCTAAGGCAAAACTCAATAAATCTTACATAGTTAGAAAAGGGCTTTATTGAGGCAAAGAAGATATTTTCGTTTCGAATGTAGTTTTTAATTTCATCAACAATCATAAAATATCAAGAATCTTCTTCATTAGTATATTGCTAATACCTTACTTTTACGTTTTCATATGAACATTTTAACTCTTTATTAATTAAATATGCTTAGAGACACTACACGTAAATATTTTACTCTCAGAATAATACTTGTAGCATTTGTTGAATGTTTAGTTATAATTATTAATATACAGAAAACTAGGTTAGATAAGGATCAGTAAGATATAAATTGGGATGACATTAAGTATTAAATAACCTCATTATAGAGGCTTATTTAAGTTTTTTAAATTACAAGTCTAATTTCATATCAAATTGAAAAATATTCAAGTTAAACAACTGATAAAACATTTTCCTTACTACATATTTACCAATACATTGTTTTAATTTTATACATTTGTGCCAATCCTATGATACTTCTTTTAAAATATTGTTTAAGTAAACAATGAAATATTTTATAATTTTACAGACCTCTTGTATTATTGAAAAATATAAGAAATCTATTATATTAAAATTATTGTCAGAAAATTAATAATATTATATAACATAATAATATTTTTCTCCAGTTATATTATGGTTAGTATAAGCATTGATTACATTAAAATCATTAACACCTTTTAACTAGTCTGTAATTATTATAATAAAGAACTTATGTTAGAGACTCCAGTTAAAAGGTGGTAATGCTAATTTAGTTTCAGGTATGTTGCTTGTGAATGTATTCTCATGTTTATTGCTTATTTTATACTAAAACATTTAATAACATATTATTGTTCTGTCCAAGATTATAGATACAGAACATATTACAATCTGTAAATATATTTAATTTTTAACAATGCAGGATAAACTAGAAGTGGTTCATTTAGCTTAATTAAGTTATTATTTCTAGGAAATGTTTTTCACAACTCCTATGGAGCAATTGAGACAGAATGTTTACATATTATGTTAGAGCAGCCATAGTTTAAGTGGAGGGCGGTGTGGGGGGAGAGGGCGGGGTGGGGGGTTCCTCCGTGGTTTCTTCATTCGCCCGTAGCGTTATTTCTGCTGTAGTCTCCGAGGCTTCCTGGAACATAAAATGAAGAATGTATATTGTGTATAAAAATATGCACACTTGTGTGCATATTTTTTCAAATGCTTTGAAAAGATCAAAGTACTTTAAGTCCTAAGTTCAAGGTCTCACTTTATAGTGTTCTGAGAATGCTATGTCAGTTATGGGAGCGACGAGTAACAAGTACAAAATAAATTAAAAATAAAAACATATTCTTTTAACAAAAAGCAATCAAACTTATCCTTTTACAAAATAGATTTGATAACTGAAATTAAAATTCAAATTCAAATTCAAATCATTTATTTATCGAAATAAGAAATATACATTTCATTTATGGATAGTCATTTTTTAAATCTACCACCGTTTCGTAATGAGGTTCCTCTAACGGAGAAGAAACAGGCGAAAGAAACTCCGTAGGTATCCTCTTTTTTGTCATTTTTTTTACATAAATATATTTTATAAATAAATATATTTTATAAATGAGATATATTTCGGGACACCTTTCCTCAACGTTTTCTAGTCCAAAAATTAAGCAACGCTTGTACTATGGGTACTAGATAACTGATAAACATAGTTTTTCTTTAAATAAATAATATTATACGAGTACACATATAAACACCCAGACATTGGAAAAACACTATGTTTATCAGACAATATTTCTTCAGTGGTGGTTATCCAATCCACAACAAACACGAAAACTCAAACGGCAAACAAGCAGCTGACTTATTTCAATGGTGGTCAACGCATCTGCAATGCCTCAGGATTTGTGGATGTTCATGAGTGGCGGTGATCACTCAACATCAGGTGAACCGTCTGCTAGCTCGACAACTTTTGACATAAACAATAACCGTTGATCGACCCGGCTGACGCAACAAACAACCAAACAGCGGTTCCTTCCACGGCTTACTTATCAGCCGGCATTCAAGGTTCAGTGCCGGACTAAGCAAGCGCGGGGCCCGTACCTAATTCTTTCAAACGGCCCTTCATCCGCTATGGGTTCTTAAGTATAAAGTGGTAAAAAAACAATTCAATACTCTTTACTTCATAAATTTCACACAAATAATTAAGGCACACGTGGAGATGAGTGGGTTTAAATATGCGGGGCCCTCTTAAGCGCAGGGCCTTATAGCCATGCCTTGCTACTCTTGCTACATGGCTAATCCGGCACTGCACTTGTTATATGCCCTTAATAGAGCCGCCTGGTGTAATAGTATAACCATGCAGCGTGTCTGGCGGCGGCTTGCTACCGAATTCGCGGAGGGACGGGGCCGGTGAACGGGATGGGAAGCTGAGCATGACCGGATTTAGGGGAGGGCCCCCATAATAGATATACGGAAAAAAAATCAAATCCTGACTAGTAAACAATAGTAAACAACTTGGGCGACCCGAATGGCGTAGTGGGTAGTGTACCTGCCTCCTGCGCCAGAGGGTGTGGGTTCGATCGCCACTACTGGAAAAATATTGTGTGATGAACATGGTGTTTTTCTAGTGTCTGGGTGTTTCTATATGTATAATATGTATTTATTTACAAAAGAAAAGTATGTTTATCAGTTTTCTAGTACCCATAGTACAAGCTTTGCTTAGTTTGGGACTAGAAAATGTTGTGTACAAATGTGTCAAAAAAGAAAAAAAAACTTTTCTTTTCTTTATTTTTTTTCGCGTTTTCCTTTTACCCGCAGTACTTTGTACACAGAAATCAATAGTAAGTCTGTCCCGTGATCATGAACGCTGTAAAGGGTTCGAAACGTCGGGAATTAAAATTAAAAATAAACGCGATAAATCCGTAAAATTAGTTTCATTTATAATCAATAGAAAGTAATTTGGGGCCAAGGGGCCTCCACTCCTTTGCTGCCCCGAGGCCTCCAGACCTCTAAATCTGGCCCTGACGCTGAGGGTGGATCTCTCACCTGGAGCTCGGTGATGGTCTCAGCGGCGTGTCGCTTGTGCCGCCGCTGCTCCACGTGGCCGAAGCAGTGCTCGCACTCGTCCTCGCTACTCTCCGAATCGGACTCGTCGAAGCGGCGCGGCTTCTCGTATATGCAGCAGCCTGCGAAAGCCGACGGACGCCTCGGACGGTGTGGAATGGGTCGGAGAAGTTTCAAAGCTCGACCCCGGACGGCGCGGGGTTGATACGGCGAAAGATTTGCGACAGTTTTATATAGACATTTTCTTACATCTCAAGTGCAAAGGACAGCACTAAAAGTTTAATATTGATGGTCTAAAGATTGGCGTTTATTAGTGATGGCAACTTCGTCTTAAATGGATTATCTTTTTCTTTATTGGGTCTACAAAACTGAAAACATATTTCGAGCAAGCTTCATAATCACCATGTGCGGTGAATGCATTCCGCGATGCAATTGAAGACGTCCTACTGAAGACCAGTCCAACGAACAAAAATGTGTAAATAGTGAAGGTATAATGCTTCGAAAAACAATAAATGTGTCATTAATATTATCTATGTGGTCTGATTTATTCAAATCGATTTAATATTAAGTTAATGACTTTACATCACAAAAGTATAACTGTGCACACAATTTTCTTCGTCTTTCGACACTTGCCATTCTATACTTGTAGGTTTGCCGTGTATAGTCACCTCAAGATTGCGTTAAGTTTAAGAAGTATTAGTGACATTTTAAAGAGTCTACTCACATTTTGACTTCTTCTTGTTCATGTTTTCATTGTCCACGGTGTCCTCCGTCCACACGACCTTCTTGCGTGCTTTGGCGCGCGTCGGCCGCAGCGTGATTACGGCCGCTGGTTCCAGGGGACCCTAAAAACGTAGAAGTAACAACCTATAAACGTTCCACTGCTGGGCAAAGGCCTCCTCTGTAAATATAGGGCATAGTCCACCACGCGACTCCACTGCGTATTGGCGGACTTCACATATTTGTTTTTATTATTATTTCGAAAATATGCAGGTTTCCTCACGACGCCTGCCTTCACCGTCGAGCACGTGATAATTCAGCACTTAAAATCAACAATTTCATTGATGCTGGCACCGGGGATCGGCTGACCGAACTCAGGTTGCTCGAGTAAATGTAATTAAAGGCGAGCGCCCGGACACCGAGCTATCACGGCTCAAACGTAGCATGATAAAATCATTGTTGCTATTCTATTTAAAATATCTAGATGGTAGAAAAATGTTTCGCCACTGCCAGCAGTCAGATCTGCTCCTTCCGGCCAACGCGCCCAAGCGCTCAAGTTACAAAGCTGATCTACGTTGCTTTTATAGCAAAGCAACATCCACGTTGATGATTATAAACTGCATAGATACTGATGGATATAAACTGTTTATCTAGTTACTCTTAAAGTAGGTCCCAGAGATGCTCTTCAGTGTATATTTAAAGACCTCGATGAATGAAGACAAGATCAATCAAGAAGTACTTAAGTAGTCGGTACAAATCACTCATCTTAATCACAGTCGCCACAATTAATTACTTTTATAATTGTAAAGTTTATGAAGCCCTTATATAATTTGCAGAGTATTTTTATAAAACAAATATGTTACAGCCGAATACCGTAATTAGTGATTGCAAAAAAATGCATTCAATTACTCGGTAGTTGTCTATTATTTATTATTAGGTCTCTCCAAGGCACCGGTGGCGGGCGGTAGGGACAGGTAGGGTCATTGACCGGGTCAGCCAACGCGATGCAAGTATGCCGCTTTTTGCTCGAGTTGTTTGTCCTGTGACAGACACTACTTGGGTAGGACAAGGTAAATAATCATAATCAAGGTAAATAATCATCATCAATAATTGTTTCTGCCTACACGACATAATAATATGTTTTTATTTTTCACTACAGTATACATACAGTATAGGATTCCAGATGATGGTTGTACATGGTGTTATTTCTTTAATTTATTGAGTTCTTTTATTTTTACTAAAATTTATATAATATTGAACTTTATCTTTTTTTTTTATGTGAGAAAGTGGAAAACGAGCTGGCGGTTCCCTGATGTTGTGTTAACCGCCGCCCATGGACATTTGCAACACCCTTAGGGTTGCAAATGCCCAATTGCCCAATTTTCAAAAGGTTGTCAACGCATCTGTAACCCTCTGGTGTGGCAGATGTCCATGGGCGACGGTATTCACTTAACATCAGGTGAACCGTCTGCTCGTTTGACAACTTTTCGCATAAAAAAAAAAAAAAAAAAAAAATGTGTTGCCACCTTTAAATAAAGTGGACCCCGGCTTTCTCACTCACCAGACGAAACGCAGAAGTGAAACACTTCTACTTTACGCAGGTCTTTTGTGAGGTCGTGGTACTTACCCGGACGGACCTGTCCATTTGTGCAACAGAGAAGACTGTTGTGACTGTAGGGTCACCTACCACTTTTATTAAGTGTTTGTTTATATTCCTTAAGATCTGTTATATGTCGTTAAACGGAAACAACGATACCTATTGGGTTGTTTTTATTGCTTATAACATAAACGCTTTATGTTACTTGACAATATCTGGTTAAAATAAAAAGGCGAAGATAATAAAAATAAAGAAACTAATTTTTACGGATTTATCGCGTTTATTTTTGATTTTGTCCCGTGACCATGAACGCTGTAAAGGGTTCGAAACGGCGGGAATTAAAATTAAAAATAAACGCGATAAATTTGTAAAAAAATTACTTTCATTTATAATGCGTATCGCGTAAATACAAGAAAATATTTAAAAAAAGAAATAAAACAAACAAGTAGCGTTAAATAAATAAAGAGTTTCATTCCTTTTGATGTTTGCTTACCGAGATAACAGTCGTTTTTATCTCTAACAGATAAACTGTTTAGTAACAATTATCAACACAAAGCGAGCACATAACAACACTGCAATTTGAGTAATTTCCCATAAATTATCGCACGACCTTATTTTGAATAGACCGTTTATTTTCTCCTCGTGGTAGCCCAGGACGTTTGCCAACACGTCTTTCGTGTGCTGCCCCAACGTGGGGGGGGCGGACCTGGCTTCGTTCCCGCCAGCGCTGTACAGCGTCGGCGGCCCTACCACCTTAACCGTGCCGGCGTCTGGATGCGGCAGCTCTTCCACCAGCCCTATCGCCCTCACGTGTTCGTCTTCGAACACCTCCCTCATCGTGTTGATCGGCCCGTTGGGGAACGGGGCGTCCCTGAAGATCTCCGCCCATTCCTTCTTCGTTTTCTCCGCGACGATCGCGCCGATGATCTCGACCAGCTCCTCCCGGTTCCTCACCCTCGCCGAGTTGTCCTTGAATCTCTCATCGTCTATCAAACCCTCCCTGCCGAGGTACTTGCAAAGCTGAGCGAATTGGGCGTTCGATCCCGTACCGATTACTATCTCACCGTCTCTGGTCCTGAACGCTTGGTACGGCACGATGTTCGCGTGGGCCGTGCCCCAGCGCTGGGGCTCCGTGCCGCAGTTCAGGTATATGTTGGCGACGTTGATCATGCTCGAGATTTGCGTCGAGAGCAGGTTGCAGTCGATCCTCTGCCCCCTGCCCGTTTTGCTTCGGTGATACAGGGCGGTCATTATCGCACCGAACGCGTGTAGACCTGTCGTTAGGTCAGTGATGGCTACAGCGGGCTTCACGGGGCTGCCGTTTCTCTCACCGGTAGCATTAAGCAATCCGCCCATTGCAGCGGCAATGACATCATATCTAAAGGCAAGAATATATAAGGTTAAATTCGGAGAGTAATCTATGTCAACTAATATATAACAATCGCTGGTCACATGCTCAGAACAGCGGACAGTAATAATATTAAATGTTTTTAATCTTTCTTATAAATATTCAATACTGAAATTTTCACACTAATGAATAAGTGCTGATAAAGTGCTAGTTAAATTGGTAGATTTCTCTAACAGCTGCACTTTCATTTTTCACTTAGAAACATCTCATCTTAAATGATATAGAAATATAACTGAATTTTTCAATTAGTCTAAGAGCAAGGAATTAGTTTAGTTTACAATTTATACAAGTGCAACATTTATTTATCTCAAACAAACTAACAAACTACCCCTACACTTTTTTATAACAAACAGAATGATTTTACAATTACATTATTTCTATTCTGTTTCTATTCTGAAGTCAATGAAAAAAAAGGCAATTTCACTGATTACTACTAAGAATTATATAGTGAACAAATGTATAAGAACAACAAAAAATTAATGTTTTCCAATTTTTTTTTAATTGTGATAGAACCACTTGGAGAAAAATAGTAAATATAAATATTGTAATTATCAAATATTCATTCCAATTATCCGGAATGCAATAATTAGTATGGAGAATAAATCATAGTATGTCTCATTACTATGGATATCACGATTGGTAACAGATGATCAGAATCATGCGGAATGGAGAACTTTTATATTGCATTTTTTTATTTTTTTGATAATTTCCACAAAATTACATTTTACTTACCCAGGTTTTTTAGCATACGGCCCAGTAGGACCAAATCCGGTGATTGCGCAGTATATAATTTTGGAGTTTATTTTACTTAATTTTTCATACCCCACACCGAGTTGGTCAAGTTTGCCAGGGAGAAAGTTTTCAACAACAACATCACATTTTCTAGCCAAATCATAAATTACATTTTTACCTACAAAACACACCAATGTGAGAAATTTCAAAATTACAGAACATGTTAATATATATATATATATAATATAAACAAATATGTAAAAATTTAAAAAATTGTATGGGAAAGTTACACTTACCCTCAATAGACTTAAGGTCAACACAAATACTCTTTTTATTTCTGTTCACTGACATAAAGTAGAAAGAATCTTGGGTTCCATTGATGAAAGGTGGTCCCCACTTTCTGGCCTCGTCTCCGTCCAGGCTTTCTACTTTTATAACATTAGCTCCCAAGTCACCTAGTGTCATAGTGCAAAATGGACCGGCGATAACTCGCGTTAGATCAAGTACTCTTATATCATCTAGTAGTCCTGCCGCTTTGGTGGAATAACTTTGTCTTAAAATTGGTCCCAATGATTTAAAAATACAAATACAAGGCTTGGACACATTCAAAACGAAGGTCTGATTAATGAAGTTCATGGTTTATTACGAAGCTAACGGTGTTGCAAACGACAGACGCTTAATGCGTATACCGGTTATCTAAACTTGAACGCTTGCATTTGACGAAGTATTAACTCATCTAAGATAATGATAACGTTGTGTTTGTAACTAGTCATTACCTCTTGTAATTGCGACGGTACGGTGGTAACCGCAGTGCTCGTTGTGGCCATATCTTCAGCCCGTAAAGTCCTCTGCCTATCGCCCATCAAACAATTATGCACTGTTTTAATATTTTCACATTATAATCATGTGATAACACCGCTATGGTAAATGTACTCTTGTCACGACTTATGACTAAATCTATATCACACTTTAGCACAGACTTGACAAAATTTTCAAAACAATGTACCTATTTTTCCATCTCATGTCAAATTTGACGGATAAAAATGACAGATCAAGTGTTGTCGGCTTCTAAATTTTTAATTTCATTTTGTTATTGTACTGTTAATCCGGCTACTTTGACAGCTTTTTTGGTAGAAGTTCGCGTGGTCGCGACTCGGAAGATCAACGTAGTTGACCGTCCATTGTGATGCATCTCCACGACTCATATTAACGGTGGATAGTTCGAAGCCAAATCTACGAGTCACGACACAATCCAATGGAGGAGGATCTTAAGGAGGTTTGACCTTTGGCTTGGAAAACCAAACTAAAATAAACTTTTAGATTTTTAAAATAATAATTATTATTGCCGTGAGTGCCGTGTGGTGCCGGCGTAAGAATAAGCCACCCCATCTCATCCCGTGGGTGTCGTAAGAGGCGACTAAGGGACAAGCCACAAACATCTGGTGGCCACCGATAGATGGCGGGATAACCATCTTGACTCTCCAGACCCTAAATAGCCAGACCAATAACGGGCAGCAGCGTTATAGGTGCAAGGAGTCTGGAGGAACTGCGGTTGCCAACCCGCTTGCCAGGCGTGGCAACTATGGCAAATCCCCCCTCTACATGATAGAAGTCCAAAATGTGCGGCCCCCAGTCCCCGGCAGCCCTGCTATTCCTGGCTACGGTAGCGGTCATGGTAACGGCAGGGTAGGGGGTGCTAAGAATCCCCGGCTAGAATTCGGCTACCAACGACGGCGACTGGACCTGGCAACATACAACGCAAGAACATTGAGGACTGACGAGAAGATTACAGAGCTGGAAGAAGAGATGAACAGGCTGCCCTGGGATATAATAGGATTATCTGAAGTCCGAAGACAGGGGGAGGACAGGATAATCATCGAATCCGGCAACCTGTTTTACCACCGGGAGGGCGACCAACTGTCCCAAGGAGGTGTCGGATTTATCGTCCACAAGTCTCTCATTAACAACGTTGTTAAAATCGAGAGTGTGTCGTCGAGGGTTGCGTACCTTATACTCAGAATATCCAATCGGTATTCGCTGAAGGTCATACAGGTTTACGCACCAACGTCGACACATCCCGATGATGAGGTGGAGGCAATGTATGAGGATATATCACGAGCCATACATTCCTCCAAAACTCAATACATGGTGTTAATGGGAGACTTCAACGCAAAACTAGGCAAAAGGAAAGACGATGAGCTGAGAGTAGGTAGTTTTGGAATAGGGCAACGGAACCCAAGGGGGCAGCAGCTGGCTGACATCATGGAGAAGGAGGGACTCTTTATGATGAACTCCTTCTTCAAAAAGCAGCCCCACAGGAAGTGGACCTGGATTAGCCCCGATGGTTCCGTAAAAAACGAGAAAGACTTCATTATGACGAACAAACGGCAAATATTCAATGATGTCTCTGTGATCACAAGGGTGAAGACCGGCAGTGATCACCGAATGGTGAGAGGCACATTGAATATTAACATCAGGCTGGAAAGATCTCGTCTAATGAAGTCCACACTCCGACCATCTCGTGCCCATATCCAGAACTCCGAAAGCTTTCAGCTCGAGCTACATAATCGCTTCCAATGCCTAGAAAATTGCAGCTCTGTGGACGATATTAACGCTAAGCTCGTGGAAACTGTCCATGCCGTGGGCCTTAAATTTTATAAGGCCCGCCGCACAAATAGAACGCAAAAAACTCTCCGATCACACTCTTAGCCTCTTGGGAAAAAGACGTGAGATGCGACTGCAGTCTTCAACTGACATGTCAGACTACAGGCGGCTTAATAGGCAGATCTCCAAATACATGCGGCGAGACTTACGCAACTTCAATACAGCTCGTATTGAGGGTGCTATAGAGCGGAACCTAGGCTCAAAAGTCTCGCCAGAGATCTGTCTATCGGACAAAGCCAACTGACTAAGTTGAAGACTGACAGCTGGGCTATCATCTCCAGTAGACCAGAGGTTTTGAGTAAGATTGAGAGGTTCTATGGACAGCTGTACACATCGTCGTTGGAGCCACACACGTGTGTGAGTAACGACCCAAGAGCAAAGCTTATCCGACACTATTCCGAGAATATCCCGGACGTCAGTTTGAGCGAGATTAGAATGGCTCTTGACCATCTTAAGAATGGCAAAGCATCGGGAGAGGACGGAATTACAGCAGAGCTTCTGAAATCGGGTGGAGAACCGGTACTTGTAGTCCTTCAGAGGCTCTTTAATTCCGTCCTTCAGGGTGGCACTACACCAGAGGCGTGGAGCAGAAGTGTGGTGGTGTTGTTCTTTAAGAAAGGCGATAACGCTCTCTTGAAGAACTATAGACCGATATCCCTTCTGAGCCGCGTCTATGTGCTGTTCTCAAGAGTCATCTTGAATCGTCTCGCTTCCAGACTCGACGACTTCCAGCCTCCCGAACAAGCCGGATTCCGAAAAGGCTTCAGTACCATAGACCACATACACACCTTGCGGCAGATTATACAGAAGACCGAAGAGTATAATCTGCCTTTGTGCCTAGCGTATGTGGACTATGAGAAAGCCTTCGATTCTGTCGAAATTTGGGCGGTACTCCAAGCTCTTCAGCGGTGCCAAATTGACTGTCGGTATATCGAAGTGCTGCGGTGTTTTGTATAACAAGGCTACGATGTCCGTCCAAGTACAGTCCAGTAGTACAAAACCTATCCAACTGCAGAAGGGTGTAAGACAGGGTGATGTCATATCCCCGAAACTCTTCACCGCTGCGTTGGAAGATGTTTTCAAGCTTCTGGACTGGAAATGACGAGGTATTAACATCAATGGCGAATACATCACCCACCTTCGATTTGCCGACGATATAGTCATCATGGCAGAATCGCTGGAGGACCTGGATGCTATGCTCAATGACCTCAACAGTGTCTCCCAACGGGTAGGCCTTAAGATGAACATGGACAAGACGAAGATCATGTCTAATGTCCATGTCACGCCTACACCGGTTGTTGTTGGGAGCACTGAGCTCGAAGTTGTTGACGAGTACTTTTACCTAGGGCAGTTAGTCCGGCTAGGTAAGTCCAACTTCGACGCAGAGGTCAATCGGCGAATCCAACTCGGATGGGCAGCGTTCGGGAAACTGCGGCAAATCTTCTCGTCGAATATACCTCAATGTTTGAAGACTAAAGTCTTCAATCAATGTGTGTTGCCAGTGATGACCTACGGAACCGAGACATGGTCCTTCACTGCTGGCCGTATGAGG